ACTGATTTTGGAGTTATAATATGCTTTCACTGGCTCATAGACTAATTAACTAGGAACCTTCCTATTCACCTTCCTTAACAACAAAGAAAGTTCTACAACACCATCGAAATGCAAAATAATACATTGTGATCGATGATAGTAGTAACGTACTTCGAAACAAAAACGTTGAATACTTTAATAAAAAAAATGTACAGATTTAGGGATGTTAAATTAGTGGAGCGAGTTTAGTGGAAACCACCTTACATTTGCCTCAAATTAGGTGATGTTGAATGAATGTGGGTACCGACGACTACTCCAGCTAAAGACATATTACTCTTAAAAATATCATGAATTTAATTTTATACTCATTTGAAGTCTAGAGAAAGTATTTTATTAAATGCATAATATATGAACTAAGAATCTGTTCTGATTAATTGAAATGAGCTGAACTGAATTGAATATTTTATGAGAGAAAGAAATTAAGAACTGAACTGAACTAGACTTATTAAAGCTGAACTGAAAAATAAGCTGTAGAGAACATACCCTTAATTAAATTTAATTCATCTAAAATAAGTCAAACTTAAATAAAATAGAAGGGCTATTAATAATTAAGGTCATTTTCTAATGTAACCCCAACTAATTCACCCCTCTTGTTGTTTTCATCATACTAGTACTAGTAATAAACATAGCTATATGTCTAATGTATCATTTGATTAATTACCCACTTCTAAAAGACAAGTTAAAAATATTAGGCATGCAGACAATTGATGTAGTTAATGAGTTGTACTTTTGGACAAAATTTTATAATTGAGTGGAACTTTCGGACAAAGTTAATACTGCACTACGTAATTGTAATTATAGAATGTACTCGTACTTAAGTTGTGGGGACACATGTGAATTACGAGACGATTATTTGTAGCATCAACAGCCTTAGGTATGGGGCTTTTGGCAAGCCCTTTCTTAGGCTTCTTTGTTTAACCTCTACATACCATAAGGTCATAGCAAAGAAGACAAGAAGTACGAGTATATATTACCTTGTTGGGCCAGTTGATCAAACTGGTAAATAAAAAAGACCTCTAGCGACAATTTGGTAAAATGGCGTATTTGTTTTTCGTCAAACTCACAAAGTTTGATTCAAATCACTGATTTTCTACTTCATAGGCTTTTAGATTCGTGCTCTCATCAAAAGACAGACCAAACTGACACGAACTAGTAGCTATTTTTATTTAGCAAACTTTAAAAAAAGTCAACTTGTAAATTATTCATTATTCAACTATTTTTCATTTGTGTAGACCAAATTGTGAAATTGATATAAATCCCAGATGAAACAAGTCTACATGCTCAACACCAAGGCTTTTGGATTATTTTCATAGAATTAAACTTAATTTCTATCAATGGCCTTATTTTAATTAGACAAATGAATGTTTATTGGGCCGTTTCTAGAGGGGGAAGGTTGGGCTTGGAGCATTGGACTTTGTAGGACTTTGTTCTTGGTTAACGTTAAGAAACTGGGCCAAACATGCGTTCATGATTTTCCTTTTTAAGGACAATTCATAATCACTTATTGCAATGAGTCAATCTTATCGTTTCACTCAAGGGAGTAATTTTATGTTATATTGGTACATAAAAAGGTATAATGGTAACTTAGTATAATAAAAAGGTGATGAGATTAAATATTATCACTTTAATTTTCAGGTTTTAATTGTACCACTTAACCACTATAGTTTACAACTCCTGTTAAAAAAAGTACCATTACAACTACTACTTCATCCTTAACGCGTTTGATTTAGGCACATATATTAAAAAGATGAGAGAGAGTGAGAGAGAATGAAAAAGTAAGTGGGTAGCTTGTAACAACGAACTACGATGAAGTAGTAATGGAGTAACGTTATGTATTTTGATGAGGACAATTCCATTTAAAATCAGTGTTATTCAAGATCAAAACAAAGTTAATCCATTAAACGATAATTTTATTAGATGAAAACTGTTGAGCAATTCAAGATCAAAATTCGAAGAATACCTTTACCTAGGTCATGAACATTGAACATCAGAGGTATTGTCAATCTGAGATTTCGCGTTCTCTCAGAACTCAGTCATGGTAGTCTCATTGAAGACTTCTGGATGCAATTGCAAGTATGATTATGTAGTTTGTCGATTACCCAACCCTTAGAAATCAATTACTTTTATTATATTTAAAAATCATGTTTTAAATGAAATTGCAAGTATGATTATGTAATTTTTTTTAATAAGATAAAAAGTCAGTTAGGTGAGCACACTTACATATGCGTTCTTGACCATGATTGGAGTTCAGCAGTACCAACTTCGATCGAAGGACTTATGATTCTACAATTGAACGTCAAAAAAGAAAAATAAGTAAAACTCTACTTATGAACGTGGCAGGATTTGATAAAGAACAATATACTAATTTAGGTGCCCAATATTTCAAATATATTGTTTCAAAAATATAATAAGATAATAATCCCATAAATTTTTTTTGCTAAAATGTTATGATAAATTTTCAAAAATATTTTTTTCAAAATACAATAAGATAATGATACCATAAATATTTTTTGCAAAAATGATAAGATAAAAATTCCTTAAATCATTTTTTTTATATGATTAGCATAAAATTATGATTACTAAACGCAATTGTTAGGTAATTCATATGAATGTCTTGAGAACGAGCAGATTCCAATTAAAACATAAAACTTAATTTTTAAATTAATGACCAAAACTTACGAGTACTAATGAATGCCTTACACACAAGCATATTCCAACTACAAATAATAACCTAATTAATTATAGCTAAAACTTTAAGGTAATGACCTACATAAATAAAGGTAGTGACCTAACTATATACATGTAATTACCTAATCACAAACATATAACAAAAATCGCAAACGACAATTTTGGATCAAACAGTTCGAAAAAAAAAAACTCGAATTTTAAATTGAAGAGAAAACTCTTGTTATCCAATGACGTTAAAAAAACTAAAAATTAAGCATTTCACATCATCATATTACACACGATTAAGGCTTTTTCCATTCTCAAAACTATCAAATAAAGTGATTTTTACATCAATCAAAATCATCATCAAACCCTAAATGAAATTTGTACCCGAAGTTGGATGGGGGTTTGGACTGAATTTTGGTCAGAATTTGGTCGGAATTTATTTAGTCGGAATTGTGGTTGGAATTGTGGTCAGATTTGTGGTCGGAATTGTGGACGGAATGAAGAACAATGATGATTTTTTGTTTACTAAATTGTAATTCTAATTTAATTTTTGAAAATGATTTTATTAAGTTTAAAATAGATTTTTAAAAACTATAATTACGTATTCTATAAAAAATACACGTATTAACAATTATATATACATGTATAGTATATTTAGTTATTTAAAAATAAATCAAAAATCGACCAATCATAACATGACACCTCGTCATGTTATGGTGTCATTTTTTAAAAATGACACTATAGAATCATCCTAGATAAATGAGGAGGTTTACGATAGGCTAGTGACAGCCAATGTACAACTTTGTCACATCGATTGACATAAGCCACAATGATTGAGTAGTACTGGGATGAGTGACCTCTTAAAAAGTCCTCATGTTGGTTCATGTAGTCGACCCCACTAATAGGATTAATTAAGGCATTCAAGCAGAAGAAGAAGAAGAAGAAGAAGAAGAAAAAGAGAAGGTAGAGAAGCTAATTGTGTAACCCACACTATGGCTCATCTTAGTCCGCTTGTGTAATCTACTAGAGTGTGAGTAGGATGTTGTCCAAGCGTGGTGGAAAATTTGATTGCCTCTGATTTTTGCTTAAGTGCTTATAATTTAAAACGATAGGCTAGTAATAATAGGTCTCTTGTACCAATCACGTTGGACACCGATCATGGGATGTATCACTCTGCTCTATTCAAGGTGCTTGTTAGGGTTCACGATCTCCATGATCATAATATTCCTCCTACGGGGAAGAAGGAGAACCTATTTATCTATTAAATGCTCTTGTCAATTTGAAGGTGATTAAATAAGGTTGATATTGTTCCGTGTGAGCTCCGATACCGTGATGTCTCGGGGTAAGTAAAGGTTTACCGTCCAATGCCGTGCCTGCACAGTCAGCATAGATTAACTAGCCCGGGGGGTTATCCGGGAATAACCGCTCCGATGCTAAAATTAGCGATCTGGTGAAGAGAGAATGAAAAGAGAGAAAGTGATTAGAGAGAGAGAGAAAAAGATTGTACCTTGTTATGAGAATACGCCTGGGTATATATAGGGGGAGAAGCAAGCTGGTGCCACCTTAAGACGTTAGGTGGCAAACCGACCTTATACATAGCAGGTGCCTACGTGGCCGGAAGCAACTCTCCACATGGCCGAAAGCAGCTCTCCACGTGACCGAGTGGATTGCCGTTAAGAGTATTTGAGTTTAACTAATTAGGCATATGGAAGATTTTCCTTTCAGTCTATTTACACTTCTATCGGTAATATCCCGTACAACTAGCCCCCAAGTAAGGACGTCGATAAAACCGGTGTTCTCACTTTGGAAAATTAAAATGGATACCGTTAGCAGCGAATGGGTTTGAAAATCAAAAATCTCCGATTTGCCCCCATAGTGAGCCAAGTACCGATAGTACTTTGCTCAGTTGAAGCAAATGGACATGATAATAAAAAAATCTCCGATTTGCCCCCATAGTGAGCCAAGTACCGATAGTACTTTGCTCAGTTGAAGCAAATGGACTTGGTTATCTTAAAAATTAAAAATGCTCTTTAATTATTTTTTATTTTATATATGATTTTTTTTTAAAAGAAAAAATTAAAAATTTAGAAAATTTTAAAATATTTGTATAGTACAATTGGAAATTGGCGGGAAGTTTCCAAAGTTGTAGTGGGACACGTGTTGCAAAACTAAAGAAGCGCATAGTGATGTGTCGGACTTATAACCGTAAGATGTCATGCAATAAATGTCAAATAAAAAAAGTCACTCACTGAGTATATATATGAGAAAACGAACGGTTTATTCTTTAACGAAGCTTTCAAAAAACAAAATTGCGAAGTAAGAAACCTCCGTCGCGTTTTTTCGTCGTCTTTAAATCGCAACCCAGGGTACTTCCTTAAAATTTTGCTGAAGCTGTGGCAATTTCTTCACTTCAGTGGTTCGGTGGCTTGACTAGTGCTTTGTAGAGGTAAAAAACTCAACCTATTGTCCATGTTTGTTTTTTGAATTTCTGGTGTGTTTCGTATGCGTATATGGTGGGTTTTTAGGTATTTTGGTGTGTTTATGCCTGAATCTGTAAAGAATTATACTACGGGTAAAGCCATTGTGGCTGACCCGTTTATACCCTTGTCCTCAGCGCCCGAGAAGGAACCTGAGAAGTTTTCTTGGCGTGTTAGTACTACTTTATTAGAAGACGTTGATATTGTGGAGGTTTAATCCATCAGCATACTTGACGAAAGTGACTCATACATTCTCATTGACGATTACGGTTCTAACCTTGGGAAAATAAGTGTTGAAAATTCAAAAATGCCGAGGACCAAGCGCCCAAACATCGGCTCTGATCAGGCCGAGAGTTCCCTTAGGCGTCCTGGGAAAGAATTGCTAGAGGAAGCCAAGACTGAAGGGTCTAATGTTCGAGCTGAGGATGTTGCATCCGTCGAACGGAACATAGAGTCTGAAAGAGAAGAGGGCGAGGAAGAGGGTAGCAGTCATGGAGAAGAGGAAGAGGCAGATGAAGAAGACGAAGAACCCAATATCAGCAGTGAAACTGATGAGGAAATTAATGAGGACATCAATATCGGCGAACAAGTAATTGCCGAGGAAAGCCTTGATGAGGGTTATAACTCAGAAGATGATGATGCCGTTTATCGGCAACCGCTGCACCTCTCTGATGAAATCAAGATTTCTCAGGTAAAAGTAGATGATGCATGGTTAAGAACAGCTGCCGAGAAGAACTATTGCAGTGTTGGCAAGAGATTTTTCCGGCTTCCTGATGATTATTTTCTTACCCTTCCTGAGTCTGGTAGCACTGTTGTTGATTGCCCAGAAGGGCATATTGCTATTTATGCTAAGCACTTTGAGTTTGGTCTGCGTTTTTCACTTCATCCTTTTATTGAAAAAATATTTAAATCTTGGAATGTTTGTATTGCACAACTGACACCGACAACAATTCGTAATGTTGTGTCATTAGTTTGGGTCATGATTTATATGGACTTTCCGTTAACGTTGAATTTGATACGCAAACTTCACTGGCTGAAAAAAGACACCCAATCCCCAGGCTGGTGGTCTTTGTACACTGTTAACGGTAAACTTACAGTCTGGCCAAAATTGACCAGCTGCAAAATGTGGCAAAAACAATTTTATTATGTTAAGGTTCCTGACACCTTTGCTTTGCGAAGAAAATTCTATCTTCCTCATACTAGGTTTGATACAATTAGAGATAGGAAGTTAGGCATTCTTGAACGGAAAGCTTTTCGGTTCTTTGATTGTATGTATATTAACGAAGGTAAAAAGATTAAAGCTGTTCCTAGGGAGTGGATGCCCAACTGTAATTATATCCTGGGCAACGCTCCCCTGTCTCATATCGGTCTCTGCCATACTGATGCATATGGTATGATTTAAACAACCATTTTTAATCATAATTAATTATTCCTTCTCGTCTTTTCAAATTTGCTTTGCTGTTTGTTACGATTTATTTCTTTTGTCGTACCTAAGCCACTCATTGCGCATTATTACTTCTTAGTATTTTATCGGAATGTACACTATCCTTAATGATTTCATACCTGGGCTGACATCAACCTTTGTCTGTTTTACCAGGTCTTGAGAAGTTAGACAACGAGAAGCTAGGTTTGCATCCTGACGGCAGCATTAAGCGGCAGTGCCCACCTAATCCTAAGGGTAAGTTTGATACCCTGCCCAAGTTTGCCAATCGCGCTCAGAAAGGAAAACAGAGAAGTAGGCAAGACATGACTGCTCTATCAAAACCCAAAGCAACTGACGGGCAGTTTATATTTCCTCTCAGAAGAGTTGACGGTGCCGGTAGATCAAAAAGGGCAAGCTCCGCCAGTGATCGAGAACAGGCTAAGAAGCAAAAATCTACTCCAGCTCCTGACCAACAAGCCAGTCAAGCCAAAGATTCAGTCGCCGAGACCAGAGTGATTGTAAACCTGGACGAGGATGCTACCGGTGCTGAGTCTGAGGCTTATGGTACCGACATACCAGCTCCTCCGCCCGTTATTACTAAAGCTGAGAAGGTGATCCCGGTATCGAGGGAAGTTCCCCGATTCAGCACTATTCTGTCCGGGTCGGCTGGCCCGACTGCTTTCGTGCCGGCCTCTGTATCAGACTTCATTGAGTTCCCCCATGTGAGGATTCCTGAAGAAGTCTCTGATGAACTCCTGGACTTTCCTATCGGCAATGCCAGTGAGCCTTGGTGCCCTTCCTTTACCGTAAATAGGGGTGAATCTGTCTACGCTGATGATCCTTCATCTGGTGGTAGTCTCGGCTGGAGAATGCTCAAAGATCTTCCAACTCCAGCCGATAGACCTACTGGTTGTTTTGTGGCTCCTTGCGGTCAAATGATGAATGATATCCTCAGGGTATGCGTTTTATGGTTATTATTACATTAGTACAAATGATACTTTATTATTCATTATTTCATTTTTCTATATACTTTCTATGTGTTTATGCCGATAACGATTTTTCTTTTTGGTAGACTGTCAACTTCGCTGTCGGGGTTGTGCATATGTACAGACATTACCAAAGGCAGGCTGACAGAGCTGAGGTGGTTCTCAAAAAGGCCGATGAGGAGCGGCAAGCTCACAAAGCTGAGATTGATGGGTATAAAAGCAAGATTAGTAAGTTGGAGGAAAAGGTGATCGACCACAACACCTTATTAAAATAGCTTGAAGATCAAACGCAGCTGAAGACCCAAATTGATGAACTGCAAAAGAAACTAGAGGCTGAGAGCGCGGATAAGCAGAGGGCCGAGGATGAACTCCGGCTTGCTCGCTTGGAGAAGCCTCTTATCAAGCGTAGGGCCGTCAACCAGTTTCTGAAGTCTGATTTATACAGAGATAAACTAGTTGACCGCTATAACGGTGCTTGGGTTGCTGCTCATCGGTGCGTTTGTAAGGCCGAGAACTGGGACGTGGATAGATGGCAAACGGTGGAGGATGCTTATGGTGCTGACAGCCATCTCTCTCCTACTATCTATGAAGAGTCATATTTTGAGAACCCCCCCGTTCTGGACACCATAAAAAACTTTGACCCTCGGAGTCTTCCCGACGAAGATTTTGACGAATCCCTTCTCGCTACTCCTCCTCGTGATGACGCTCTGGAGAAGATGTCGGCAACGAGGGATTAAAGTTTAAAGCAGCTATTGCCGGTTTCATCATGCGACTCTTGTTCTCCTATTCCTATTTTATTTTGAAAAACATTCATCTGTTTTGACATACTCTAATGCTTTTTATTTGGATAATATGATAATTTGTCTAAAGCACCTGTTGGTGTGTGTATATTATTTTGGTTTCGGACGAAATGTTTAATGACTGTTTATTTTACTTACATATCAGTTTGATTTTAATCGTTCTTTGCTTTCGTCATATTGTTGTATATTCCCCAGTTTTACTAGCGTGTACTCAACTGATCTCGTAAAAACTGATGTTGATTTTGCTCCAATCTTGCTTTATTTTTCCATTAAGTTTGGTACTCGATGATTTTGTGCTTATATCTGCAACCTTTGGTGGACCGAGTAATGGAAGTGGATCAGACTGTCCATTTAACTCGCCTTTAGGCACATTAGTTATCCAACCATCTCGTTATTTACTTGAATGGGTGTAACAGCTAGCTAGGCCGTTTGCACTTACATATCGAAAGTAAGCAAATGGTTCCATATTGTCTCACAAAATAATGATTTTATATATATTGTTGATGTCGTCATTAGAAACGTACCAAAGTACAGCAGTTTATGTTGAAAATCTGTACCTTATAAGCCTAAGTAGTTTGTTAACTATACCTATAACAGAAAAAAGTTTTAACTTAAACTAAAATCGTTTACACATAATACTTCTTAAGCACAGCTGCATTCCATACATTTTTTAACGGTTTCCTTTTTAAGGTCATAAGACGGTAAGAACCTTGCCTTACAGTTTCATACACCTGATATGGGCCTTCCCAATTGGTTGTAAGCTTGCTGTTAATGTTTCCTTTCCCTGTTGCTTTTGTCCTTCGCAGTACTAGATCTCCGTCTTGTAACGGCCTATAGTTGACACGTTTGTTATAGGCTTTGCACATTTTATCTTTGTAGGTTGCTGACTTAATTTCTGCCGTCAGCTTGATTTCTGGTAGAAAATCTAGTTTTTGGCGTAATAGTAGGTCATTTTGATCCTCGCAGAAATGTTGAACTCGAAATGTTGGGAGCCCCACCTATGCCGGGATAACCGCCTCTGAGCCGAAAGCAAGGTTAAAGGGTGATTCGCCGGTTGTTTCTTTTGTTGTCGTCGTGTTTGCCCATAACACTTCAGGTACAAGGTCTGCCCACAAGCCTTTGGCGTCTTCTATTTTCTTCTTCAAAGCATTTAAAATCTGTTTGTTAGCGGCCTCTGCTTGACCGTTAGATTGAGGATGACAAACTGCAGCAGAGGCGAATTTCACTTTATATATGGCGAGAAAATTCTTAACTGGGGCGCAGTCGAACTGCGAACCGTGATCAAAGACCATTGCCATCGGTAATCCAAACCTGGTGAAGATGTTTTTCCAGATAAACTTCTTCACTTCATTCGTCGTTATCTTTGTTACCGGCTCAGCCTCTATCCATTTCGTGAAGTAGTCTATCCCCACTATCAAGAAATTACGTCCTCCTGTGGCTGAGGTGAATGGGCCGACAATATCCATTCCCCATTGCGCAAATAGAATAGGGTTGAGGATAGGCGTTAAGTCATTAGATGGTTGATTTATTGTCGGTCCATACTTCTGACACTTGTCACATTTCTTGGCATAGGCCATTGCGTCTGCATATTGTCGGCTAGTAGTATCCCCTTTTCATAGCTTCTAATGACATTGATCGGCCACCCGAGTGATTTCCGCAATCGCCCTCGTGTATTTCTTCTATTATTCTCTCAGATTCCTATGCCGTTAGACATCTTCGTAACGGTAGGGAAAAACCTCTTTTGTACAACGTGCCTTGAAACATGACAAACCAAGCACTATCTTTTTTGATTTTTTGTGCCTCATTTCTATCTTTCGAAAGTACGTTTCGCACCTTATAAGCCAAGATATCATCGTACCATTCACGGCTCCTCGCTACACAATTTACCTCTTTCGTTATTTTCTTGTCTATGCTCTTTTGATGCATGATTTCAACCATTACTGTGCGTTCTAAGTCGTTGAAGATTGAACTCGCAAGTTTCGCCAGTGCATCTGCTTGTGTATTCTCGCCACGAGGTATTAGATTGATTTCGAAGTGATCAAGTGCTGTTACTATACTTTTGAGCCGAGCCAAGTAGGCTATCATCGTTGGTTCTCGGGCTTCGTAATCGCCGCTGAAATGGCTGGCTACTAACTTTGAATCTGTGAATATCTCCACCCTTTTTTCCCCTGCTGCTATGCATAATTGAACCCCTGATAGCGCCGCTTCATATTCGGCCTCGTTATTAGAAGCCTTGAACTTGAACCTTATCGTGTATTCAAATACGTCCCCTAGTAGGGACGTCATGATGATACCTGCCCCCGATCCAGTTGAGGCCGAGGAACCATCGACTGTCCACGTGCCGACTGTATCCTCCTCTTCAGTGTAGGAAGTTTCAACTATGAAGTCGGACAAGGCCTGAGCCTTGATCGACACTCTTGGCTTATAAATCAGCACGTATTCCGATAGCTCAACTGCCCATTTCAGCAGACGACCTGAAGTTTCCATTTTTTAAAGAGATTTCTCTAGTGGTTGATTTGTCAAAATTTCGATGGTATGTGCATCAAAATATGGTCGCAATTTTCTTGCCGCTATGACTACTGCAAACGCGGTTTTTTTCGACTAGAGGGTACCTTCGTTCTGCAGCATTTAGCACGTGGCTAACAAAATATATAGGCTTCTGCATTTTCTTTCGTTCCACTAGCAGTACTGCCGCTACCGTCTTTGGGGAAGCCAAAATGTAAAGTTGAAACGTCTCTCCCATTTCTGGTCTGGCGATCGTCGGCAGTGATCGTAGGTGATTTTTAACGGCCTCCAGTGCTTTAACTTGCTCTGCCCCCCAAACAAAAGTCTTGTTCTGATGGAGGATAACAAAGAATGGTAATGCTTTATCGGTCGATTTGCTAATGAATCTTGTCAATGCTGCCATTCGACTGGTTAACTTTTGTATGTCTTTAATGGACTTTGGTTGTGGGAGACTGAGGATGGCTTCAATTTTGTCGGGGTTCGCATCTATTCCCCTTTCACTAACCATAAATCCCAATAACTTTCCAGACCTGACGCCAAACACGCACTTCTCGGTATTTAACTTCATTCGATACCGTCGCAGAGTATCAAAGGTTTCCCTTAAGTCTTCTACATGTTCCGTAGCTAAACGAATTTTTACGATTGAATCATCCACGTATACTTCTACATTTGTTCCCTTTTGGTTCGCGAAAACTTTGTCCACTAACTTCTGGTACGTTGCCCCTGCATTTCGCAACCCGAAAGGCATTGCTTTGTAACAATAAACTCTAGCATCAGTGATAAATGTCGCTTTGTTCCGATCCGGCGGGTAGAGGCTGACTTGGTGATATCCGGAAAAAGCATCCAAAAAACTCAGTAACGCATTGCCAGATGTGGAGTCGACTAGGCGATCGATTCTTGGTAGGGGGTAACAGTCCTTTGGGCAAGCTTTATTTAAGTCTGTAAAATCAACACACATCCTCCACTTTCCTGACGGCTTTTTCACCATAACAACATTAGCCAGCCATTCAGGGTATGTGCACGGCTCTATGAATCCTGCCGCTAACAACTTGTTAACCTCCGCCTGTATTGCTTTAATTTTTTCTGTGGAGAAGTTCCTTTTTTTCTGCCTCACCGGCCTGGCTCGCCTATCCACGTTTAGCTTGTGCACAATTATTTCTGGGTGAATCCCTGGCATTTCGTCGGCTGAGAAAGCAAAAACATCGGCATTCTCCCTTAGGAGCTCAACTAGGTGGCATTGCATCTCGGTGTCCATATCAGATTTGATTTTTACTGTGCGATTTACTACCCCTGGTTGCAACTCAACTTCAATAGTTTCTCCTCCTGGTAATGGTCTAGGGACAGTTATGGGCCGTGTATCAAAGTTTGCCATTTCCAAGTCATGGGCCGGTGGGGGTCGCTCCCTTTTTTGGTTACCCTGATCCCTCGGAGCCTGTCGGGCAGGCTGCTTTAATGCCGTCACGTAGCATTCCCTTTCCATTGTCTGACTTCCTCTAACGCGCTCTATCTTGACGGCATTAGAGACATATACCATTGTAAGGTGATATGTGGAGACAACAGCTTGTGCATCATGAATTAGTGGCCTGCTAACAATGGTATTATATGCTGACGACACATCGACAATTAAAAACTCGGTCATCACATCTCGAGCCATTGGTCCTTCTCTGATTATGACTTGTAGGACTATGCTTCCTTCAGGACTAACGGTGGAACCATTAAAACCAATAACTGGGTAAGACACCGGTGTTAGGTATTTTCGACCTATCATCATTGCATCGAACGCTCTTGCGAACAAGATATTCGCTGAGCTACCCCCATCTATTAGTACACGCTTGATATCACACCCGTTTATCGACAATATCAGCACTAATGGGTCATCGTGGGGAAAGACTACACCTTTGGCGTCGGCCTCAGAGAAAGATACGGAAGGAATATTATTTGGCCGAGGTCGTTCATCTACCCCTAGTGCATTTAATATGTGCTTATACTCTGACAGACTTTTCTTGGCACCGTTAACAGATCCTCCATGTACTGGTCCTCCAGTAATTACCTCAATGGTTATTTTTCGTCCAGGGGGTGTAGAGCCCTGCCAATAAGCCCTGGAGTTATCCTGTCGGCAGACGTCATCTTGTGCTGACGGATCTCCTGGTTTGCGATACTCTGTCTGTCTTACCGGCTGGTAACCCTGCCGGCTTGTACCTTCTTGTGACCGATATTGGGATAGGTGTCCTTTTCTGATAAGATCCTCGATGTTTTCTTTCAGTTGGATACACTCTTCGGTGTAATGACCGACGTCTTTGTGGAACATGCACTATTTCTTCACATCTCGGCCTTTCGTTATCATTGGTGCTGGCCGACTCCAATCCTCCTTGTGCTGATTTATAGAATAAATAGCGGCTCTGGGTGTGTTCAGTTGAGTATAATTGCTATACCGTCCTAGGCCTCTAGCCGGCCTATTTATTTTTTGCTGATTTTGCCTATTGACCCCCCCCCCCCCGTAGTTCTCGGGCGATGTTTGAGTATTTTGCCTCTGGGACGGCTCCACTAACGCTGTTTGATTTCCCGCTTTCAGAAGCTCCTCACTCTTAATGTAGTCATGGGCTTTATTAAACGCTGCGCCGAGATTGGAAAAGG